TTGCTCTCTGCAGTCATGGAAAAGCAATTTCCCGTATTTTCTAAAACCTTTTTTGAGTCCTTAGCTACAAGTCATGGTGACATTTTAAAGAATGTTCATATGTAATTGCTGAAACGTTTGTAATCCGATAAACAAGCTGAGTTTCAAACGGCCAGTGGCAGCTCGGCGCGCAGGCCCCTGAGACCTGCCCATTAGCATCAAAGAGACACTGATTTTAAATGACATTGCTTTATTCAGTGTTTTCAGTTTTTAATTATGAGATTTATCTGTTTTAGAGAGGAGGGGAACTGTTTTCTTCCTGCAAGAACTTTTTTTGAACAATACAGATTTAAAGGAAGAATGTGCGACTTTTTGATCCAGCAGGTTTCATCCTTGAGCACCAGCATGAAACCAAAACAAACTGCTGTTTGGCCACAGCGCCAGCATACTGAAGCATCCACTCTCCTCTAGTGACACACCTCCAACCCCCCCCCCCCCCCCCCTCAAGTTCGGAATTTTACACCAGCGGCGGACAAAATATCTTGGCTCAAGCTGCAATTGCCTACGGCCGGCATTGTTGTGTTAGCAGGCTAATGTTAGCGTTGCCTCAAATTGCATGTACATTTACACAGCAGGACCATGATCTAAAAACGATTACGTGCCATAAAACGTAAGCAGTGACTTTGATATTCATTTAAGCTAAAACTGCTTTTATACACAAGGTGAGGAGTCGGCCGACCCGTCCATATAAACATGATGTAAACACAGCTTCTTCTCACTCTTTCTTCCTTTAACGATTATTTGGAAAATGCTCTGAAAGTTCACAGCCTGCCATCTGTTGATCCTCTATTGGGCTGACTTAAAAAAAAAAAAAAAGGAAGCTTTAAGTATTTGAGGAAGAAAAACTTATACTGTACTATTTTTTCTCAGCAAGACAAAATTAGATTGTTTTTCTGCTTAGCTTCAGCATATTCATGTAAAATGGCAATAGGTAAAAGTTAAAGGGTCTGCCTTTAGTTTTTGTTTGTTTCACTGATTTGATATGACTTGTGACAGCTCTTCGCTGTCTGCTGGGACGAGGAGAGTCTGAATCATTCCACGAAAAAAAAAGGCTCTCCCTTCAACAGCGCCTTTGGTCTGACTGAATCGAGGGATGTTAAGCTGCCCCATGTTCCTCATCTGGCCCTCTCACCTTCCTCTTGGGTCTCATCCGTCTGTTTACTCTTTTCCCAGCCTTAAAGAAGCATTCATTAAATCACCTCTTAAAGATGAGAACGGGACATGACAGCTACAAATCAGAGCATAATAATCTTGACCCAAACTCCACGCCCACCCCAGCCTCTCCATGCCTGTTCCTATCTGTCCCTTATCGTCCGCTGCTGAGGCCCCGAGCGCTGCTGGGAGACACGGAGCAGCTCTTGTTTACTGATGCCCGCTGTATTGATGCGAGCTGATTCCATCAGGCAACACTTTTGGATGCCACACAACCCCGCTGTCTTTCACTGCCTCCCTCCTACTGTTTACGTCTTAACCCCCTAATACCTAGCGTTTTTTTCTCACAAATGAGGACAGACTGTTTGCAGCAAAAAGCGGCCGTGTGGATGAAAAGCGTCATAGAGACAGGACAGACATGCAGCGCTTTTCTTCTCAGCGCACAAACGCTTCATGTAAACTCACTCGAGCATACAGCCAACACTTTTCTTCCCTGAAGAAACACTAGGTGGACACGGGGCCTTAGGTGTGAGTTTGGTGTGGTTTTTGTTTTCCGATATTTATAATGTCTTAAATTCCTCAATCCAATCATAGAAGAATAAGCCCTCGGCGGCAGCTGTATTTTGCCGCTGGGCTCACTTATACTTGACCTTTTGAAAAACCGCCTCGCTCGTCAATGTCACAACTCCCTCACCGTCCAATTAAAATCAAGAAGGAGCGGGACTTCTGATTTCAACTTTGTCAACAACACTGGTGGAGGAGAAACTAATCCGACTTTTCTTCGAAGATAAAATTTCCAGGTCTAGAGCCAGGACTCGATTCCTTCTCACTGTTTTTGAGTTTTCTTGGGGAAATTTCCTTGAATAAAAGCAGAAACTCAGCATACAGAGCAAATTAAAATGGACCCAACGATCACTACCAAATGATGCGTGTGCATGCTGTTGGACAACTTAAGAAGCCTCTTAAGTTCTTAACTGAGGGCGTGAGCGCTAAAAGAAAAACACATGGACACATGTCGTAATGGACACAGACCCTATGGCTGCAGTGCAGTGATTGTTATATGCACAGATCTAATTTGTGCTGATGAGCCAATCAGATGTAGACCTTTTTTTAAACTAGGTAGATCTTCTTAGCTGCCTAAAGAGACTCACAACTTTAATTAAAAAAATGCATTTTTACTGTTTCTACAATTCTCCTAGCAGACGCTTTTATCCAAAGCGGCGTACATCAGAGAGTAAGTACAACACTAATCCAGTCATACACCACCAGGGAGCAATGCAGCGTTAATTATCTTGCCCAAGGACACATCGGTCATGTTGCTCAGCTGGGGATGGAACCCTCGACCCTCTGGTTGAGAGGCGACGACTCTACCCATGAGCCACAGCCACCTCAGTTTCTAGCCAAATTTCCAGACACATTAAGAGCTGTTTCGTGCTGCTGCCATTGCTTATATATTCTCAGCTGCAACCAATCTCATTTTTATTGATTTTAGTGCCTTGTATAAATATCTCTTTAATAAAACACAGTGTTCATATTATTAGATTACATGCAGATAAATAAATCCCACTCCATTAGGAGAGAAAATGTGCAGTGAAGGAATTCCTTATCCGCCCACTCAGTGTTTCTCTCAATCCAGTGGTCCGTTTGTGAAATTAGTTCATAGGCCTGATCACGTTCGAGGCGGCATTGCTGCCTACTGGTTGCTGTGTGCCTCTGTCCATCATGTATGGTGGTTAGATTCCCTCTCACCACAGCGTGCAGCGATTATAACAAATGGATGAGTTCAAACCATCTGTAAGACATTTGATTAACACCGCCGAGCCTCTGCCTGCCGAGAGAGGCCAGAGTGGTACTTGATGTGGAATTGCACTAATGACGGTGCCTGAGAAGTAGCCATGCTCTAGGAAAAACATCACAGATCAAGAAATTAGAACCTCGGAGAGACAGACGAGGTTTTTAGCGAGCAGCTCCGGGTGGCCTCTGCATCCATCTCACACATGATTTGATTGGAGCTCCCAGTCATCAGCTCAGCCTCACTGTGCAGCTGTTGAAGTTAATGTGGCATGAAACAAAACAGATGTTTCTTCTGGTGTCTTCCCCCTCCTCTCCATCTCCTTCAATATTTTGGGACTGTCACACTTGTTGTGTATGCATGAGATGTATGATCTCTAGGTTTTTGCTTTGGGGGATTCTACTTCAACAATTTGAAACTACAGAATGAATAGAAAATATGTAGTTTTTAACCACACAGTGAACCAATTGCTTCTTCAGAAAAATGAAAAAAAAAGTTATGGAACATAGATTGCTTATTCAAGAAAATGTTTCTTATTAGGACAATAAAAGTGTATCGTATTGTAAAATATCGTATCGCAGCTGATCTCATCATATCGCATCATATTACATCTCATTGTATCGTATGGTATGGATTAGTGTCTACTTGAAAGTTTTAAACCAACCAACTTGGTTGAACTTGGGATCTGCATGCTTCAAAACAAAGTGCTTAAAAGGTTGTTCAATCAATTTCTGAATCTTCTGTATAATCAAAACCTTTCTAAAAGCAACTTCATGTAAATTGGCCTCTAACATGCACATCAACATGCAGCAACTTTATATACTATTCCTGATCCATACAGTGAATTTTATGTAGACTTATGTAGATTTAATCTATGTTGATGGAAAATAAAGTCAACGGGAGCAAAACTGAGTTCACCTGATCATGGAGTCATACCAGCAGTGTCTGATGAATGACTTGCTATTAAAAGCAGACGTTTCTTCACTCTGCTGTTTTTGTTCAGCTGTACAGCTAGCTTAGTAGCTGTGTCAGCTAAATCTATCTTCATCCATAACATGCTCTGCACTTGTTATTGCCATTGCGGAACATTTAGCCAGAACAGAAACAGCCAAGACCAATAATCCGAGCTGCAATAACCAATACATTTCCCATGCCAACAACTACATGAATGACAAAACTAAAAACTGATAAAACTGATTTGCGGTTGAATTTCAGAGATACTTGAAATAACCTGAAGTTGTCGTTGATGTGTTCTAATGATGAAGTTACTCAAACAGATGGAACAGGCTGACAAGAGGAGCAAATTAGCTTTAAGTCTTGTGGTGTCGGGCATTGAGTTTCAGGCTGTGGCTCCTGGGGCCTTGAATCATTTGTGTAACATTATATATATTAAAACTAAGAGCTGTTAGAGAACTGTAGGACGCATTCACTAGGCAATGTTGCGCCGTACTGTCCTGAAGCAAAATCCCCCCTCCTCATCCTCGTTCCTCCGATGGCCTGCACTCGCACTGCTCCAGGACAAACCGGGCCTGAGCACGGTTACCTCATGAACATAACGTCGTAACACAACTCATAGATTTACGGATCATGAAGCGTGCTTAGTTTACAAGACAGATGGACTATAAAAAAGGGGACTCATATCAGAGAACAGCACAGAGAACACGACTGCATCATAAAACTTCAGGATAATGGAAGGATGGGATTGATTATACTTCATGTTCACGTTGTGTCACCTGCTTGTACTCGTGCATGAGCAACTGTAATGTTCTGAAGCCCACCTCTTCCACCTATGCCAGGGCCAAGGAAGTGCACTGTGCTTAAACAGGGAACGGAGCACTCACACTAGATTGTCTAGTGTGAGTGCGCTCTTAGTTTCCTTATTTGGGTGTGATTCAGTCTTCTTGTTTGAATAAAGTCTTTGTTATCTGTTGTGTGTCTATGTGTCTATGTGTCTTGACCATTTCCTTAGAAGTGAAAGAATTACATAACATTACTAACCGGACGTTCTCTTTCTCAGGACACAGCGCTGGACCCTGGAGAGGATGTCGCTCTTCTCTCAGTGAGCTTTGAGGATGCTGAGGCTACCCAGGTCTTCCCTAAACTCTACCTGTCCCCCAGCATTGAACAGTAAGCACATCACATTAACAAATACTTTCCTTTTATAGTTTTCCTTTAGTGAAGTTAAAGTTATGTTCAGATGGACAAAGTATTATTACTTGCAATTGGTCTGCACTACAGTCTACCAAAACTAGACAATTATTGTGGATTACCTGGATATATCCTGGTGTGAATCAACATTTTCTCTTTCTAATCAATAAATGGAAGGTTTATTTTATGGACCCTACTACCATGGTCCGTGTGATTCATGCAAACTGTAGTTTTTTTCATTGCCTGCAGGGTGGCTTTAAATCCCTGACAATGGACCCCTACCTACTAAGTAGCTCCAGTAAAACAGTCTGTTTAATTGGTTTTGCTAGTTCTACAAAGAATCTGTCTATGAACTGGATTTTTTAAACAATGGTTCTGTTGGATTAAAACCTTGATATATAAATGATTGTTTCAGGTGTAAGTCAAACCTTTGGATGTTTCCATTAAAAAGATTTATGACTTTGGAAAAAAAAGTTGATTGCATATTGACATTCTCTATTCAGCCTACCTCAGGCTGCATCCAAAAGTGAGTCTGTGTTGTTAGACATGTCAAATGTATTTTGAGTGTTGAGTTTTCATACCATTAGCTTCCTGGATTGTAAGTGGATCAAACAGTTGCTGTGGCTAATTCAACCCAAAGGGATCACCAGGGGAAATAATGATGGTACCACTCCAGATGTTTTCCCTTACATTAAACGTCCTTTAGTTCATGACAATCCTACAAAGAGTTGTAGCATTGTTATTAAAGTCAGTAAAGTTGGTCTTACAGTCTATCAGTCTGTGTATATCATTGAAATTTACTCTAATTATGCAGCAGCATATCCATGTAGTACTGTCCTTCCAGACAAAGTTAAAAAACTAGCCATGGATGTCTACCAAACAAACATTAACCTGTTCATATATTTATATGCCATTGGTTAAGTCTTTATCAGCAATTTGGAGTCCAACATATATCTCAGGGATATTGGACAGGAGAACCTCTGAGCCACATCGGCCCCGGAAACAGATCTTTTTTTCAGCCATCCAGAATCAGAGGTCATCTAATGAGAAACATTCCCGAACTAATCCCAAAGAATGAAAGGTCTGCAAGTTTGTTCTAGTGCCTCACTTAAAAAAAAACACAGTCACAGTGATCAGGCAGGGAAGGTCAGGTACAGGTGATGTTAGCCCACCTTCCCTCTGCCTCTGATTTTGAGGACGCAAGACGTAGTTGATGGATTAGCATGAGTGTGCTCTGAATCTAGCAACATATTACATCATTGTGAATAATCCCACATCCCACTGGACTCATCAGGCGGTTCCTCAAAAACAAACAAGGGAAGAACAAAAAAAAAATGAAATGGATGACACACAACGTCTAAGCTCGGGATGACTAGATGTCTACAGACATCTGGGGTGTTAACAGTACAACGACGGTGTGTGTGTTGTGTGCCCAGGCTTGTGTAGCATGTTTTTCTGAGTCTGTGGGCACTGTGTGAGTGGGTACTTCAGCAGTGTGCTTATTCTCTTTGTTTAAATCCAGTTTTTGTCTTGCAGGGTGTAGTGTCTATGTGTGTTTGTGTGCATTTGTCAGTTTACATTTGGGTGTGTGTGTGTGTGTGTGTGTGTGCGCACATGAGTGTGTGTTTGGATGCATGCATGCTTGTGTTTTTTTTTTTTATATCCTCAAAGTATGTGTCTGTTTCATGTGTTTGTGTGCACGCACCAACACTATTTGAATAAGGCCTGCTCTCTACACAAAGTCTTTGTATGTAGGTGTGGATGCAGATAAGTGTGTGTGTGTGTGTGTGTGTGTGTGTGTGTGTGTGTGTGTGTGTGTGTGTGTGTGTGTGTGTGTGTGTGTGTGTGTGTGTGTGTGTGTGTGTGTGTGTGTGTGTGTGTGTGTGTGTGTGTGTTTGTGTGTGTGTGTGTGTGTGTGTGTGTGCTTTCTATGTGTGTGTGTATGTATCTGTGTGAGAGCCAGGTATGGGCCCACTCTGACCTCAGGGCCCCACGGTCTGGGCTTTCGTGTTCAGAATAATCTCAGGCTGATGTTTATTTACAAGCACACGCCCCGTCGCACCAGGTTAAGAGACCTCTGCTCTCTCCCCCCTTCCCCCACCACTACGCTCTCTCTCTCGCTCTCGCTCTCTCTCTCTCGTTGTCCTGTCTCACCATTTTCCTTTTTCATGCTCGTCTCCCGTGTTCCTCCTTGGCTCATTTTGTTATATCCTTCTCTGCTGAGTTTTTTTTTTTTTTCATTTTTCATAATAATCTTCCTTCTCCTGAAATATTCATTCAATTTCTGAACAAAAATCTTTGTCTCATTATCTGTGTATGTCTCACTGTCAGTTGCTAAATCACACACACACACACTAGAGGTCTAACGATCTGATATCACTGAAGCAAGGGGATAACAAAATTCATATTTCTGTCTTAAGGATTCACTCTACTTTTTTAATTTCCCCTGGCAGGTCTGTGTCACTGTTAGTGTTCAAACACACCTCTCCTCGAGGCAGATACATTGACTGAAGGGATTAAAGTGAAAAACAGAATTACCTCTTTTTTTTTTTTAAATAAGAGTAGATGTTTTTTTTTTAAATTAAATGTCTGGCAGAGATCAATAAAAGTGATGTCAACCCTATTTTGGTTATATATATATGTGTGTGTATATAAAAATATGTTAGGGCTGTCAAACGATAAAAAAATTTAAATTGTGATTGATCACTAAATTTCAATAATCATATTTTTAATAGCATGTGTGAAATTCCATTATTTTGCATTAATAAATACAAATAATTAGGCCTTCATTTTGAACTTTTGTACTGTCTTAAAGCACCCTTTAATCGCTGTTTGAATTCAACCTGCTTTTATTTTGAAATAAAGTAAGGACCTCCTGATAGATCTAAGGTTGTGACATGGATTTAAGAAAGGATAAAGGAACTGAAAACAGCTCAAAGGACTAGTAAAAAAAGTGAAATGTTTGATGTCATGAGGTGGATATGACTGTTGACTCGTCAGCTGAGCTGCTGAGGAGTTTTTTTAAAAGTGTAGTGAGACATTCAAAGGTGAAGAAGTGTCGTTCTGTTCCTTCACTGTGTCCACAGCGAGACACGGGGAGGCTTGTCCACGGTGCGCCTAAAGGGACAAAATAGCATGAGATTAATCACCATTCAAAAAATAAATGCATTAATTTGGGAGTTAATCGCGATTAACTAGTTAATGCTCACTGCCCTTAATATAATTGTAATGTCTTCATTAATGTTGCTTTATTAATGATATCCAAATTGTGTTATTGCACACGTTATGATATCAACAAATATTGTAATCTTGTACTAAAAGAGGATTCTATGAATCTATATAATGTCAGGTTAGAGGAAGCACTCACACAGATGCACACACACACTTACAGAGAGAGGGAGAGGGAGAGAGAGAGAGGGGGAGAGATGCTTCTCCTCCTCAATATGAAATAATGAACTGTGACAGGACCTTAACCCCATACAGCATCTGCAGCAAAATACTCTAATTACACCACACAATAGGTCGCCTAGTGCTTGTCCTTGTTACCTTCCTTTTTTTCTCCTGTGCATGTGATAGAGCGTATGTGTGCAATCATGTGCTGCATGTATCGTCTTTATAAAAAAGCAATTATGCCAGCCTCTATTTTTTTAATTTGACTTTTTCTGATGTATAATGCACTCATTACAAAGACACAACTGTATAAGGTTTCAACTTAATTTTGCTATCTGTGTCTTATATGTGTATTGTATATCCTTGAAATATTAATTAGCTGTGGGTTGGCAACAAATGTGTTGCTTTGATGGACACTTCTGCACAGAAAATCCACTTGGTTGAAGAAGCTTTCATCAGGAGAACTTTTGTACTGGTGCGGTTGCAGAATATACGTGTGCAATGCATATGTCTGTTTTATACGATTGAGCAGTGTGTGTTTGTATGTGTGTGTCTTCTGAGGGAGACTGACCTTACGATAGCTCCAGCAGACCAGACTGGAGCTGTTGCTGTGGTGTTAGAGGCGCTCTCCCTCTCTCTGCCAGTTGCATGAGCAGAAAAGACAGAAGGAGGCTAACGGCAAAAAGTGTAGAGCAGGAAGTGGGGAAGCTACGGCGCAAGGGGGATGGAGAGGGGGTAGTTGAGAGGCAAGAGAGAAGGGGGGGGCAGATAAATGAGGAGAGGCTATAAAACACAACCCTCCTCATCTCAACCCTCTAAGAAACATCTCGACATGCAGAGGCTTAACCATGCTGCATTGAGCCAAGCTCTCATTTAGCAGCCCTTCTCCTCCTGCTTAATGTTGCCTCTTTGTCTCGAGATATTTGCACATATGCATATCAAGGCTGAGTATGAATATGCTCCGCTACATGCTTTTGTGCACCTTTTTGTCAGATGAGTGGGAGTGTGTTAATTCATGACCCAGGGCAAAGATGTATGTCTTTTTCGCCGTTGTTTGAAGACAAACGATTGCATGTGTTTTGCAAGTCCGTGCATGAGCGCATTCGTATCATATTCATTGAGGATGCTACTTAATTTAGCATGCAGATTTGTGCGAGTCTTTTCTGCTGTACTTGCGTACATGCAGCTCTGTTAGACCCTGCTAGATATCCTTCATGTCCTTACTGACCCTTGTTAGTAACCCTTTGCACGTTGTCTTTGCATTGACTCCAGCGAGGGGGAAAATCCGTTTGTTGCAGCGTTCCTGCACTCTGCAGTTTGAGAGACAGCAACAGTCAGGAGCTTCTGCGCTAACCCGAGCGATGGCAAATGTTCAAGAAATCATAAAATGCCCCAATAAAATCCACATCAAAAGCGCTTTGCAAATTGTTTAAATCAGTTCTTGTTTTATGAAACATTGAGTGTAGCAGATGTGGACAGCTGCAGAAAATTGGCTCGGCTTTGTTTTTGGCACCGCTGGATTTCACTGTTTGTAGAGACTGTCATATCAACTGCATCTATTCAGTGTCAAAATGTTCTTTACGTCTGCA